GCCCTGTGACATTTGACATTGTCATTTAAATATATTGACATTTTGAAAGTTATATAAAAATAAAAATTGTTTTGTGAATTTTCATTAAAAGTTCATCTGGAAACTCATTACTTACTATTATTTAGTAAAAAAAAATTCTTTTAAAATATAAAAATAAATTTTTGAATATAAATGAATTTTTCATAAGAAATTCATGTTTGTATGATCTTTTGTTGGAGTACCATTACAATATTTTTTTTAGAAAAAAATTTGTTTTAATTAAAATTTTCATGGATGGCAACACTTTTGAAAACTTCTACTTGAATTATTTGGATTTAAATTCAAATTATAATTTTGTTAAAATTTAAAAGTATGTAATCAAAACTGAAGATTTTCATAAACGCAATACTGCAAAACAGTAACTGCATGAAACTTAATACTGCAGTATCATAACGTGATGAATATGCAATACATTTTTAATTATTCTTTAAAATGAAAATATTTCATACGATTTAATTGTACTCACACTAATTTTGTTATATTGCATAAAATTAGGAACGTTTGGGACTAAACTAGATTAGCAGTATTTGTTTACGAACACAAATATACTGCTATATACATATATCGTAATATATTGCGTTTATGAAAAGATTCATTTACTCTCTTTTCTTAAACAGTTCAAGCCAGAGTCATTATTCTCCCAGAGTCATTATTCTCTCAATTGAATGTGCCGTTATACTCTCAATAACACATAAAAATTTTAAAATATAAGTGTGAAAATTTTTCACTTTTCTATAAATAAAGTGAATGAGTAGTGATTAAATTTGTGAAGAAAGCGTCATAAATGTAGAAAAGTACTGAATTTTTTTTCAAAACTATCCATTATTATAGAATTTAGCTCACTCTCTCATTCACTATTCTTGCGGTGAGAAAAAAAAATGAGATAGGTATAGAATGAGCCCGCATTAATATGTTTAATTGCGAAATATTGAGATAAATTTGGATTTCTTGAATGAAATCTTGAACACAAACACCTGTGCAACTTATTTTCAAAAATACTAAATCAGTTTAGAAATTGTGTGTGCGTATTTGGAAATATAACAATAAACAAAAGAATAGAGGGAAAAAACTGATCAATTTTTATCCTTACAAATTATCCTTTTAAATTATAAAAGAAGCGTAAAAAAAAATGTAATAAAAATAATGAAAAAAAAACTTAAATTGTTAAAATAATTCGCAAAATACACTTCTATAATACTTATCTAAACAAATAAATTTATTTTCAATATTGAATTAGTATAGAGAAGAAGGTCATGAATTTATGAGACTTCTCACATTTTCTGATATACCTAAAGACACATCAATACCATCAGTATATTTTTAGCCTCTACGAGTATACCATACGTCACGAGTTAATTCAAAATTTATTTGAAAAAACAACAATAATAAAAATAATATAAAAATTCTTAACAAAAGATTAGTAAAAAAAATTCTTTTAAGAAATTTAGCAATCATACCCAACCTTCATACTATAATCAAATAATGTTGTTGATGATTTTACTAATTATGAATTTATTTTTAAAATAATAGATCTGGAAGCTATACTATCATATACACATAGATAAAAATATTTATAAAACAAAAAGAATTTATTTTACAAACTTGAAATATCCTTCATTTTTTGTATTCTGATTTTCTTGTTTTTTCTTAATGAAAACTAAATCGAATAATATAGAAAGAAGCAGCCTATTTTAATTCAAAAATAAATAAATATTTGCTTTCTCCTTTTGTTCCTTAAATTGTATATAAGGAGCACTTAAAATAACAAAAAAATATTTGTATAGAAATTTTCATTGTTTTTCTTCTCTATATTTTACTTTTTTTTTTGTTTTTGGTATGATATTGTGAAAATTAGAAATATTTAGAAGAAAAATTAGAAAATAGAAATATTTTCAATTAAGCGAATTATTTTTTAATAAAATTATTAGAATAATAATATAAAAAGAATAGAAAATTTACGATATTTATATTTTAAATAAAATTTTAATATGATTATGGAAAAATATTTTCTCTAAAGGGGGGAGGAAAGTTGTAAATAACTTAAAATATTCAAATTAAATTTCTTGAATTAAAGTTTTCATTTCATTCAAGGAAAAATTCACTATTTATACCTATATAGCCTTTAGCATTATTTATTTAAAAATTTCTTACGAAAAATCATCATAAATCCTTCGAAAAATTCCATATCTAAATGAAATATGAAAAATATGAAAACAATGAATAAAATTTGTTATAAAAATCCTATGATTATGAAACATTGAGTCTGTTAAAATTCATTTTCATTTATGATGACCTCCCTTTCAATATCAGGGTCCATTTTAGCATAAATATAAAAAAAGACAAAATATTTGATGTCATTATTAAAAAAAATACCAATTTTTTTTTTATTTTATGAACCACAAAAAGAAATATCAGATTTTGTAATTTAAAGCAGCTGGTATGTGACCTTTATCCTGGTGACCTTTATGCAAGGTTTTATTCAACCAGATGGTTTTACAAATATTTTTTCATATATGTATGTACAAAGGTATGAAGTCTTAAAATATTTTTGTTTTTTGTTTTGTATAAATTAATAATATGAGTATGAATAAAACATAAGTTACAAATGCACAATAAAAATGTTAATCTGTTTGACAAAGCATTTCAAGTGTAATTCTAGGAATAGCGTTGGTCTTTTCCAAAATCTGATTATTCATATATTTCAATTTTCACACTTTGACATATTAATTTTTATAACAAAATCATATTGTGAAGAAAATATTTTCCGGGTTTAAACATTCCAATCAGCATTCATACACGATTTCAGATCATATCCTTGATATAAAATATTCGAAGTCAAAAGTACAACACCCACAATAAAAGGAAAAAGAAAGTAAGAAAAAATCTTAACGTGAAAATTATGCTAATCAAATAACAGAAAGTTTTATTGTCGCCCCCCCCCCCCCACTCTTGATAATATTTTCGTTTTCTTAAATCTAAAAGTCTTAAAGGCGTGAATAGGCCTTTAACTGTACTCGTAAAAGAGAAATTCGTAAAAAAGAAAATTTTTTAGTAAATTAATTTTTTTGCTTTTCAAATTTAGGCCTGTTTAGCATTGGAAGTTTACCTTAATTGGCTCCCAGAATTATGTTCTTTTAGTTTGGAAATTTTTCAGACTAAACTTGAATTTCAAATTTGTTAGAATTTTGCCTGTACTTCTTATAACAAAAACACACTTTGCTTAAATATTTAGTAATCGTATTTTTTTTTGCTGAAGATCTTATTTCACTTCTTTAGTAATGTGCCACATAATAATGTTCGCTTAGCATATCAACATAAACACTCCCAAAATTTCATGGCGACCATTAACGAATGGTGTAATAACGCATAAGAAACCTGAACATATTCATTTATTACTCACAAATACAGATAAAATCGTGATAAATGAACTGTTAGTTCCTTTAAAATACCTCACATATGTACATAATTAAATCAAAAACTCGTCATCTAATTGATATCGTAACAGAAGGACATTTGTATACAACCATTATCTTTCAAAATCAAAAAAAAAAATTTAACATGATATTTAATGAAATTTTTAACACCATTGTAATTTATATTAATGACGGTGTTATTTTTACCTTGAATGCTTTCCATTTTGTTGTTTTTTTCTTTTCATTCTTTGACAATAACAAAAATCAATATTTTACCGGAACTATTAGTTAAACATAATAAGAATTTTTTGATTAAAATGGTTGGGGGCCGCGTAACGCGTATTAAAAAATCTTAAATAAATTTTTAAACAAAAAAAAATAAATTTTAAAGAAACTTGACAATTAATTTTAAAATAAATGACAGAAACCTTTCAACATTTTCAAAAAAAAAAAAAAATAACAAAAGGAGAGGAAATGAAAATTTCATTACCCAAAAAATATTCAAATTATTTTTGACATTTTAATTTTATTCTTCGTAAAATTTATGTTTACGTTTTTAAATTCTTGATTAGCATTAAGTCATTCAAAAATTTTGTAAAATGTTGCTTGAATTTTTAAAAAAAATTTTAAAATTTGAAAAATGTTTATTGTAAATAAAATTGAAAAAAAAATTGCATATATTGAGGGGTTTTAGAAAAATTTTCAATTCTTCACTTATAAATTTTTATAAGAAATGAATTTTGTGAGTTCAATTTGTTGAAATAAATCAAAAGTTTTAAATTGTTAAGAATATTTTTCAATCAATATAGGAAAATGTTTCAGAAATATTAATATTGATTATCTAGTTAATTTGTATAAAATAATAAACAGGTCACAATTCTTTAAAGAAATTTATGAAATTTGAAATTTTTTCACAATTTAAAAATTTGTTCGATCATTTTCAAGTACGAAATCTTCAATCACTTTCAAATTCATTGTCATTTAATTTTAGCCGAATTGAAGAAGAAAATTTACTAAATTTTTAGAGAAAAGCCATTACCTAAACCTAAAGCATAATTTCTTTAAACTATTCTTTTTGCTAACAAACTATTATTTCTTCAACTTGTCTTCTATATTAAGGCAGTTAAGAAAAATTTGTATTTTGCTCTTATTAATAATACATCAATGGCACATTTTTGAAGGTATGCGTTTCCTTTAATAATTTTAGAATTAAAAATATTTTGCCTTTTTAATATCAATATTATTGAGAACCAATTTTAATTATTTTGGACTAAATTTAACACTCCCCAATTAATCTATAATCAAAATAAACAACCGACAAAATATTTATATTCAGTTGAAATATAATTTTTACTAAAATTATTTATAAATGATTAGAAATTTAATTAAATTCAGATTATATTACGGTGTTCAAAATCTAAAATTTAAATCGAAATAATTGATATAAAAATTAATTACAATTATTTATATATGTATAACAAATTTAATTTTTTTTACTAAATAATTTGTATAACCAATAATAATTTAATTAAATCCATATATAAATACCTAAAAGTTATGAATATTTAAATAAGTGAGTGTGTAACATATACATGCGTGTAGAATTACCACTTTATACCAAAGGCTATTGTAATTAATAATGTAAAATATTTAACCACAAAATATTACACAATAAAAGCCAGTTTATATAATTTTTTTTTCATTAATCACACAAATATTATTTACCACATAATATTATTTTTTTATGATAAATATACAAAAATTTATTTTATTTTATTTTTAAATTATTATATTTTAGAAATACACTGCATTCACATTACATAAAAGTTAAACACATTTTTAAATATATTAGTTAATTGTTATTATAAAAAGGATATTTATGTATACATATATATATATATATTTTATTTATTTTTTAAAAATTTTTTTTTTACTATATTAACCTTGTATCGTAAAATGAAAAAAATATCCTTTGTTTGCATAACAAAACAGAAAAACATAATAATGTACACTCGTGCTTTTGAAATTGTAATGAAATTAAAATTGTTATCCTTATTATTTATAATTCATTACTATTATACACACATTGTGTAGTAAAATTTTCTAAAGAAATAATTTTTATTTTTGCCTTTTTTCTTTTCTTTTTTTATTCTCTTATGATTTATTTTTATACAGGTAAGTAACGTGAAAATATTAAAAATATTTCTTTTTTTAATTTACAAAAACAAAAATTTTCTTATAAATTTTCTCTTTCTCTCTCTCTCATTTTAAAATCTCAAGTCATTTATATTACAAGATTATTTTTGTTTTGTTTATAACCACAATATTGTACGGGTGCGTGCACGTCCACAATGTTTGAAATCTCACTCAAAACTAAAGCAGCAACAGAAAAGAAAAAAATATTATTCTAACATTTTTTCAAGGTATAACAAAAAACATAAAAGGAAAAACAACTGTAAAAGGATGACGCTGAAGCACACAAACATTTTGTTTTCTTTTGTTTTTTTGTTTTTATTTTTATTTTAACATAATGGATAAGTTATACGGACACATAAGTTAAAAAATTTGTATACTATATGTATACGGTATGATGATGGTAAATTTAGCATTGAATAACGGTAAATATTTAAAATAAAAAAAGAGAAAAGAAAAAAAAAAAATTTTTTTTGAATGGTTAGCCGCAGTCTCTCAATGAATTGTGAAATAATAATTTTGTACTAAAAAAGCAAAATCATATTGAGAGAATTTTATTTTTTGTTTTTTTTTTTTCAAAAAGCTTTAATACACAAAATTATTTTATGATATGTTTACGAAAAGGGTCTATTAAATTTTTTGTGTTGTCGCCAAATTTTATTGAATTTCTTTAAAATCCTAATTTAAATATTTAAAAAATTAGAACTAAAAAGGCCAAACTGATAAAGCAACACAGCTATGTAAATATTAATATTAAAATTTAAAAAATTGCATATCTTCAGGCAAAATATTTTTTTATAAATGTGATCTTCTGTTTATAAGTTTACAAGGAATAAAAAGTTTAACAAAAATATTTATTAATCTTAGGTTGGGAATTGAGCTTAGGATTAGATTTTAATTTCTTATTAAAGTAAAGCTTTTCATTGAAAGAATGTTATCCCCTTAACATAATGATTTTTCCGTCCTGCATCTCTATATATATATAAAGGCAAGTAATTGGAAGGTATCAAATTTAGTAAATTAAATATGTTAAGATAATCGATTCTAAATATCTATCATCTCAAAAATTATAATGTTTTATACTTCTTTCTTGTAGCTCAGGAAATATGACACCAACCTCAAATTAGTAAACTCATTTTCTATTCTTATTTTCTACATCCACTCAGATGTAAAACATGAAATTTTTAAATGCAAAATGTAAATTTTGAAATTTTTTTTAATTTTTCCTTTAGTACATGCTTAATCCTTATTTTCTGGCATTCAATAAAATACAAAATGCAGGGCAAAATACTGAATAACGTCGAATTGTAAAAGTGAAACTAAAATTATTCACACTGTCTTTTATTTTGCATTATACTAAAAGTAACTGGAAATTAATTTTATATACATAGTAGCTTAGCTATATGACTATAAAAATATTTATGTTTAAAAGCTATTCGGAATATTCTTTGAATTTAAATTAAGAATATTAAACACAAAAGTATTCAGGAACTTTTCATTTCAATTTGGTTATTTTTAAAAGCTAGACTTGTTGCAGGTATGTTTTTACATAATAAGAGTATGTAAAGTAATAAAATGTAAAAAAAAAATGATTTTTTATTAAAAAGCTCCCAAAAATGCCAGTTACGTCATTTAATTTTTAGTACAGAAAAATTCTCCAAAAATTAAAAAAAAATTTTAATAAAATTATCGTTTATAGTTATGTATATGGTTTTTATAGCAAAACTCCCTCCAAAAATGAAAGAGAAAACACACAAAATAGAATTTTTGTGTACAAACAGAAACGCACATGGCCTATCTACATAATATAATGGAAAAGCTTTTTATTATTTCAATTTTGTATGTACACAAAAATATTTATTTACTTTATTCAATTTTGATTTTAAAACCATGACTTACACTTTTCACACTACACTATATAATATACAATCGAGGTCAAGGGCTTTACACCTTTCTTTATATGTGATATTGAAATTTACTATATTTTTATAGTCCTTGTATGTATGTACATACGTGACATACAATTTTTTATAGAATGTTGACGAAATATAATTAAAAGCGTAAAATTCTTATTTTTCCACATATCGAAATGAAAATAAATAGTCAAAATATTGTATATCATAAATTAGAGACATACAAATTGGATACGTATTAGATACAAAAATAATGTGCATATATACATAATGTATATCTGGATAGTAAATAGATAGATATATAGGCCACATTTAAAATATGAAATTTATTAGAATTGGAATTGTTTTTTAGATGAAAATTCCTGAAACAGCTAATTGTTTTGAAAATCAAAGGGATTAAGAAAATTATGGTTAAAGCAATTGCACATTATAAATTATATTAATACTTGTAATAAAATTATTGGAGATTTTGTAAATTAATTAGTAATAAAACTTAACTTGATCGAGATATTATAAACATATAAATATTTTACAAGTTGAATATTAATTAATATAAAAATTTTATACTGTTAAAAATTCAAGACCGCCTTAAGTGCTTACAATTTCAAATTCTCACACCCCATATAATACGAGTATGTCCTAATATAAATTTTAGCGAAGAATGCAAAACAAATGTAAGCACAAGAGACTCATAAGAGCAAGTAATTTAAATAATTGCATGTAATTGGCCAAATTGTATAAGAAATATATGCCGAAATATAAAATTATTGAGTACCAAATTTGATTGGCTTTTTATGTAAATTTTATTTAAATGTGTTCCGAGTGATTTTCCTAGTCCGTTCTCGAATGTATATAACTAAAAAGTTTAAATAATAAAATTTGAAAAGAATATTGCGAAAATCAAATATCTTAAGTTTTATAGTTTATTTATAAAATATTAAAATAAATTTAAATTTTATTTATAAAACATTAAAATTGAACAATTAAAAATCAATTATGAAATTTGACATTTCTCTATAAATACTCACCTTTTGAGTTATTATAAAATAATAAAGGTGAATTTATTGGAACATTGCATTAAGACGATCTACTTTATTTAAAGACGATCTCATTTCTCTTATGAAAATCAATCGCCTCGTCTGAAAGATTTGAACTTATTTCTTTTTTTTATATTTTTTTATTCCATTTCAAAATGTAAGTGAAATTTTACGTCACTTTTTTGAAGTGTACAAAATGACATTTTTGAAAAACCTACGTACTGAAATTGAAGTTGATTGAAATTTTTCAGAGAGAGAAAAAAAGCTACGCAGAAAATATAGACAAAATGAGAAAAATTCACGTACAACAAACCAATGAATTCACCTTGCAAAATATAAGACGATCTAGTGTATTCACCATAAATATATGTACCTACTTAAATGATTAGTACTGTAGCGAGAAAAAAGAAAAGCTTTTCTTATCATATTTTGATATCACGTAGATAAAAGTTTCTGGCGAGAGTTAAAAATGTTGTTAAATTAAAAAAAAAAAATCTAACCATATGTTCGAAAATTTTATCAGAGTTTTGTTTAAAAAGGGGAGGACTTCTACGTTATCGTTATTAATAACTGTAATATGAAAAGATTGCGATTTTTTTTTCACACTTTTTATTAATTTTTTAATTCAAATTATTAATTCGCATTTTATATAATGTGATAAGAAATTTTTATTTATTATTTATGAAAAAAAAACACTTGTAATGAAAAATATTTTATGATAAAATTTTTTTTTTTATATTTAAGAATTAGTTAATTAAGAGGCGTAGCATAACTTGGAAGCAAAAAATTTCAATTGAAATTAAAAATAATATTTAATTTTTCAAAAAAATATTTAAAAAGAAATTAATTATTATTTAATTTATTCGAAAAATTTTACCTACGTCTTGTTGAAAATTTAAAATGTAAATTAAATAACCTTAAAAAGATAAGGGTTTTATTTACGATCGTAAATAATAATTAAGTTATGAATACCGTTTATGCAAGCTTCATGCATTGAATATATAAAATAATTTTTATAAGCTCTCAGTGGTGTCTACAGTGTATATAAAACTTTATGTATGCTAAAGTGGAAGGCAAATACAAAAATTTATTATAAAACAAATATTGCAAATTCTAATTTAAAAATAATGGATGGTTCTGATAGCAGTGGAATTGATACCCTAAAAAAGGGTAATATTATTACAGATTCGAAACGGAGTTCTTTAAAAGTAACTTATGAGAAAACTTCATGTTATTTTTGTAATGAATGGTTGGATACACAAACTTTTAAGGTAAATTTGATTTAAAATTATAAAAACGTGCTAGTGCAATTCTTTTCTAGTTGTATACTTTCATATACATTATTGCGTGACTAAAACAAAATATGTAGGCTAACATTTAATTACATAAGATTAAAATTAAAAATTCAAGATTTAATTATATACGTATGTATATACAATAAAACAGTTTTAAAATATTAACAATAAGGCAGGTACCTTTTTACACCAGAACTATAATTACTCGATTATCTACATGTTTATATATAGATGTACTTTTATGTTATATGTAAAACATTCTGTCGGTCCCTAATTGTTCCTTTGATTGAACAATGAAAGTAATTTACATTACAATAAATTTCTTTTCACACGAAATTATATGGGCTTTTATATGAAGCAAGCAATATGTAAATATTTTAAATTGCACAAACATTTATTTTCTAATTAGTATACAAGGTGGTCCAGTTTAAGTTTTAAAGCTCTCCGGAGTTGATTCGGTTAAAGAGTTTAGAAAAAAAATCGTATTGCGAACCGAACATCAAATAGTCAAACCTTTACTTGTATTTTTCTTTCGTATTGTCGTCATTTTTACAGGTATCGAAAAAATTACTTACACAAATTCTCAATTTGCCTGCAAAACGGCACATGTGCCATGAAAGTTAATTATAGTAAAGTTGTAAAGGTTGATGTTGCGCATCTAGAAAAAAATAGTGGACTTTATCAAGATAATTAGAATTTTTTGAAAAATTTTCTAGGTCTCAAATTCAAAATTTCGTGTTGGAGCAGCTATTATTTGAAAACTATCCCCTCAACCGCACAATAAGAAAAAAACTATATAAGAAAAAAACTTAAAAAACTCGAACGAATAATCTCCCGGGAGCTTTAACACTTGGAGTGGATCACCCTGTATAAATAGTTCTGCATATAATCATATAGGTCCGTGAATTGCGCTATATAAATTCTTGGTTAATTTGTTTCACTTATACATGAGTTTTATTTTGAGCTCTACATATACATCTGTTTACACACTTACTAAGAAAAATAAATAACTATCAAGGTTTCTTGTTATTTATTTATTTTCTGTTTTTTTTTGTAGTAAAAAAATCTTATCTACATTTAATGTAGATTTCATTTGTTTTTTTTTCATTTATGAATATTTATGAATCACTACGTACATATATAACATGCTTTTCGGCAACAGGTGAATATTCGAAAAATGTTTTGTTGTTGACATATTAATATAAATCGTGTATAGCCTATGTATATATGTATTTATATGTATTTGAAATATGCAGGTAAAAAGCAAATTAATCATTATGTATTTCATATTATTGCACCCAATATAATGTCAAACGTGATAAACGCAAATATTTCACCTATAGAATTAATAATGTTTACAATTATTCTGTATACAATGGCAACTCTGCGTCAATATTTACCTTTCTACTTAAATGTCATAAAACAAAAATATTATTTTATTATGAAAACACAAAAAATAAAACTCTTTCTTTTATCATATATTTTAAGGAACACATAATCCATTGCGGACAAGTATTAGAGAAATGCCCACAATCATGTGAAGTTTATGTACAGCGAAAAAGAATGAGAAATCATTTAAGAGAATGTCCGAAAGTAATAAAACGAAATTCTTCAACAAATATTTCAACAAATGAAAATCAAAATGAGACTACAGAATTCATTAATCGAATATCAGTTCTTGAACAAGATATAAATGCACTTAGATCAGTTCTTAATGAGGAAATCAAACAGAGACTTCATCTTATTACAGATGTCGGTAGTTTAAGGAAACATAATCAAGTACAATAATGTTTTTCTAATAGAATAAATTGAATAAATTTCGTTTTCATTTTTAGATTTCGGATGAATGGACACAGAAAGTTGGAGATGTGTTATTTAATATGAAACGATGTATAAATGAGGAAGCTTCTTTTCGTACTAGTGAAATTAATAGATTAAATGATGAAATATCAAAATTATTACATGAAAATCATGTGGGTTATCAACTTTTTATTTTTTTTTAATTTTTATTCAAAATTTTATCTCCTTTTTTTATTTTATGTACATAAGGATTTAAAACGTTACAACATGAATTTGTCAAGACGTTTAGATGAAGTACAAAATATTTTAAGTGATGAGGAAAATTTTCGACAAAATTTCTTATCTTTGACTGAAGATGGCAGAAATAATGCTATAGAAAATCAGACATCATTAAGTAAGAATGTCCAAATGTTAGCAATTCAGTGTTTTTAAATTTAATTACATACTTATTATCAATTAAATTATATTCAGCCATTAAAGTTATTAAATGTGGATTGTAAATGGTATTATCGAACTCACAATTTTAATATTCTTACATATTGATAATAAATATTAGTTTAGGAACATTGAATTACATGAAGTAAACTAATTAATTTTTCTCAAAATAATTAATTATTTTTATTAATTTTACCGTTTCTGAACACTAGAAAATGAAATTGATGCAATTCTGAATAAAATATCTATGATGAGCTTTCATAATGAAAATAATCATATGCTAATTACGGAAAATATAACAAGTATAGAAAATCAAATATCACAACAAGAGGCTACATTTTGGTCAAAAATTCAAAAAGTTGAAGAAATTCTCAATGAAATACAAGCAAATTTACAAACAAAATTCATTTCAAACACAGAATTAAACACAAAACAAATAAATTTAGATTATGAGGTGAAAAGTATGAAAAATATTGTATGTGAAACTGAAGAAAAATGTGAAAAATTAGAAAAAATAGTTTATAATGTAGAAAAAGCTATACAAAGAACTCATCAAGGTTTATTAGATTTAGAAGGTCATTTATTGTATCAAAAGAAAATGGTTGCAATTCAAAATACAAGAGGTTGGTATAACATAAATCTCTGTTTTTTTTATTTTAGAGTAATTTAAATTCAAATAATGATTTCAGGTCATTTAATATGGAGATTAAGCGAATATACACAAAGATTTGAGGAGGCACGGAAATTTGATGGTAGCATTCAGGGACCACTATTTACTAATAAACCATTTGGATATACGCTTAGGGTATAAATCAAAATTTCAATATCAAGAAAAGAAGATTAATATTTTTTCAAAGAATCATACAATATTTTTATTTGAAAAATTTTTAGAAATTAAAAATTAATTATATTTTTATTTCCATTTTAGCTTGATGTCTTTTTAAATGGTATCGGTAATTGGAAAGGTCGAAATATTATAGCATGTTTAAATGTAATACCAGGAGAATTCGATACATTACTTTCATGGCCATGTAAATTACAAGCAGATATTATATTAAAAGATCAAACTTATAATGAAGATTCATCACAGGATTATATTAGACAGACTATTGTAAAAAGGAAAAATGATGATTTTCATAGTAATCAATATATACATATACCGCATAAAATAGTTGAAAGTCGAAATTATATAAAAAATGATTCTATTGTATTTGAAATTAGAGTCCAAAAAATAAAATAGAATAAATTATTTTCTTCCACAAATTTTAATTTTAAATTCTTTTCAACATTTCATATTATAACTTCACCATAGTTTTAATATAATATAACAATATGTAGTCGATATAATATTAATTTTTTTTGTATAATATATACATACATATTAAATGCATTATGTACATATAAGACATTATGTATTTAAAACATTTTTCAAAAACAATTATAAATAATTTTGTTCACATTTTTTTTTATACATCTATATAATATTTTAACAGTATAATAATTACAACCACATTGATGAAACAATTTAAGTCTAAAAGATATATATATATATATATATATATTGTTTGTATAGCAAATTATATATGCAAGAACATATTTTAACAATTACATTTTCTTTTACTATTTGACTTATTGTCTTGCGAATAATTATCTAATCGGATAGCTTGTGGACCACTTCCAAGAAAACATTTTGGTAAACTACTTTTTCTACAACCTTCTAATTTTGCTTTTGTTACAGCAATTTCCATACGATTCATAACTCTATCTAATAAAACATCTACAGCATGTCGTATATTTAATCCGGTACAAGCACTCGTTTCAACATATGGTAAATTATAACGTTCTGCTAATTCTCTTGCTTGTTGATCACTAATTACCCTATAAGATTCTAAATCACATTTATTTCCACATAATACAACATCAGGATTTTCACAATATGCATGTGTTCTAAGTTGTTCTAACCAATTTGTTACTTCTAAAAATGATTTTTCATTAGTTAAATCGAATATTAATAAAAAGCCCATTGCATCACGATAAAAAGCTGTTGTTAAACTTCGAAAACGTTCTTGACCAGCTGTATCCCATAATTGTAAATGAATTCGATAATTTCGTCCTCGAGATGAATAAATCTGTGATAAATATAAAAAAAATTTATAATGTATAAAAAAATTCTTAAGGATATTTTTTTGTTATCTTTTAATATACTAATATTAATTTTATATTGAAAGCATTATTCTTATAAAAGCTTACCAAACGCTTTTCTCGAAAATCTATACCAACTGTTGATATAAACCTTGAATGAAAAACACCATCTGTATACTGATAGAGTAAACTTGTTTTACCAACACCAGAATCACCAAGCGCCAAAAATTTTATAAGATAGTCATAATCAATTGCATTTGCCAACATGATATTAGATTTAATTCAGTTTATGATGGTCCTTGGAAAATTTTCAATACTCTTGTATTCTTTGTTTTTATATTAAAGCTATATTATTGTTTCTGTACTCCAATTATCCCTGATATCTTCCGAGAATAATGTTTTTTTTTATTATTTTTATAGATGATATTATTTATTTTTTTCCGACTATTTATAAATATAATGCTTTCTGTATATATCACATAGAAAAATTAGATTCACTTGAAGCATACAAGCATATTTTAAATAAATAAAAAGCATGTGAAAAATTCAAATCCTTTATTGAAATATTCTAAAAATAGAGGAAAAAAAATAGGATATGAAATGTGCATTTATATAAAATAAATTTATAATATAAAAATTTTTTGAAAATTTTTAATCAATATGAAATTTAATTATAAAAAAAAATATAGGCTAGTTGAAATTATTATCAATTTATAAATATAATTAAAAGAGAAAATAATTTTATGTGGTTGCGCTAATCAGCTTATATTAGAAAAATATATATATGTAATATTTATGTCTATATGTATGTATGTAGACATGAATATTTAAATTTAAATATTTTTGAACATGAATAGATGAAGCGGCATTTTTGCTATTTTCAATACAATAAATGTGCCTAGATAATTAAATATAGAGAAAATATTTAAAATTATCATGTTGACATACATATATATATCAGTAAATAAACGAATATAATATATATATATATGTACATACAGTTCATATTTATGTATAAATTTCACTTTAGTTCTTTCAAAAATATTTTCCTAATAAAAAACTAATTAGAAGATTTAATAATATTTGACATAAAATGATGATGAATAACTCATGTTTTTCAACAATAAATTATAAACGCAAATGTATGTATAGTTTATTAGAATTTAATAATAATATATACATATCTATCTTTTATTTATACATATTATACGTTTTCAATGAAATTAAATAAAATAAGTGATTATTATCAATAATAATAAATTGCTACAGGTACTGTCACTTTGCATTATGGTTTTAATTAAATTGAATATTAAAATAAAAATTTAAATCTTGATTAATTGGAGAAAGAGAGAGAGAGAGAGAATTCATGTGCGAAATATTTTCAATTGTGAAAAGTAAGTTTCATAATAAAATACTCTTTTAATTAAGATTACATTTTATGACAGCATTTTTAATTTGAATTGAACTTTACCATTAGTAATTATAACAAAATTTCATTTTTTCTCGTTATAATTGTAAATATTTATTTTTCAGGGAGATATGATTTTTTATGTGCATTCGCTTCTCTGTATTTATAATGAAAACAAAATAATGCAAGAAATAAATCATTAGAAATTCACTAGTCATTTTAGAGATATTTTATAAACGCAATACTGCAAAACAATAACTGTGAAACGCAATATTGCAAAAATTTATGACTGTTGTCATTCTATAAAATCAAAATAGTTGATACGATTTAACAACGCTACTAACATTAATTTCGCTATATCGCGAAAAATTTCTTATGTTTATAAACAAACTAAATTAATAATATTTGTTAATTAACAGTTTTCGCTATATATCGCCATATACTGCGTTTATGAAGAGGCCTATTGCACTGAATGTAGTCTTTTACAACATCTAGTATTGCCATACGTAATATATTCTTAGTCTTTTTTATACATAATATAAATACAGAGAAATATTTTCATGTATACGACCACCTCTTGCGAAGCAAATTAAAATAAAAATATTTTTCTTATTGCCGTATAAATCGTGTAAAATTTTTTGCCCTTAAAATTAAATTAAAAACTATTGAAGAATATTTTATATATTTCCAAACATATAAAATATAATTAAGCTATTTTGCTCCTTTTTGAAGACAAAATACCTTTTAAAAATAATGTGACCTTGCCTTTGAAGAGATGAATTTAAAAATATGAAATAAAATTTTTAGACGAATATACATAAATATATATGTATATATATATTTTCTGTAATGTTATATAATGCGTATTATATAACAAATAAATAAGGATCTATATATTATTAAATATGACAAAAAAAAAATTTCATATTCGTTCCTAAGAAATAATTTACTTAAAATATGTATATAGCACTCGAGAGATATTGTCCTTATTTATTATAAAAAAGTTTATTCAATATCGATTACAGTAAATTTAATTCGTTTATTAAAGAAGAAAAATTGATATTTTGTCAAAGATTTTTTTATTTTATTTTTTTATCATTTTCATTTTCCTCCTTTACTTTTTATTAATTTATTCCAAATAGGGTCCTTTTATATTTTTTAATAAACGAATTTTCCCGGAAAATTAAATATACCTATATATGTATATATATATATATACACATATACATATATATATATAATGTATATATAGTTAAGTGTGAGCGAATTGCAAAAATGAAACCGATCACGTGTTAGTTTTCCCCTAAAAATGTGTTCTTTTCCAATACAAACGCTTGTAACGTTTAAATAAACCGTTGTCCACTTTATTTATTTAAAAAATAAATTCTCTATAATTTTATTTAAAAATTTAAAGAATTGCTATTTATTGTATACTTAAGAAATAAAATGTAAAAAAATTTTGCTGAGTTAAAATTAAGTACATAAGTAAATACGTGCAAGTATTTAATAAAAATTTTTTTGCTTATATAAAAGACCATGAAATTGAAGGCCATTTAAATTTAATTTTGTAAAAAAAAAAATTTTAATTTAAATATATTACACTCAAAATTATTTAAAAAAATTTACGTTTTCATAAAAAAAATTAGTAAATTTCATTAAAATATTTTTACAATACTAATTTTTACGAAAATCAGTTCAAAAACTAAAAACTTCGAAATTATTCATGCTTTTGACAAAATGACCGTCATTTGACCGTTATCATAAGCGTTCCGTATTGCAACTGACACACTAGCCATTTTTAGCCATTCTGTAACTTATGACAAAATTATTGTCAATTATTGTCAGAAACTGCACCTTTTTGTTATATGACAAGATTTTGTGTTATTAAGTTATAAGGTTAGTCTTTAGTATAGGTATTTGAAATGAAGTTTAACGTTGATGGATGAATACTTTGAGGACAGCAATATTTCATAAGTATTATCTTAGAAAAAAAAATTTTCGTATATGCAAAAATAAAAAATTTAAAACAAAAATATTTTAAGTGAAACGATTCCTCTATTATAATGTGGAACCATTTTGATTTTCAAATATTAAATTTGTCTAAATTGGGTTCGACAAAATCAAATGATAATCAACAACTATTTGACAATTGCAATTATTATATATTTTTTGTTACAGTACAATTTATCACTTTGAATAACGACCATTTTAACTGCGCTGAGAGCAGCCTATTTGAAAATAACCAAATGCCATTTAGCATAAAAAGTCAGTCATCTTGTCATTTCGAACACATAAATCATATTTCTAATTTGTCATGTAAATACAAAAATATATCAATAAACAAACCTACATAAAGTAAAGTAAATAAATAATATGTCGTATAACATTTTAATATTTGAATTAATTTTAAATAATTCTAACGCAATTCACTATTTACATGGTTTTTTTTTTTTTGGTATATTTTCAATCCAAATTCACATAGTACGTTTATTAATTCATTAAGTACGTGTTTATGTAACCAAAACTGGGAATTAATAAATTTACAAATGTGTATACACGTTATACACACAGTATATTATCACTCGAGAATTATATAAATAAATTGTGAAAATAAAACCGACCTAATACAATTTCCAACTAATTAATTCTTTTAAAATTAAAAAAAAAAGTAATCAACATGACCTGATTTTATTGAATTACTTTTTATCACTATTTCCCCCCCCCCCCCCACTCCACTTAATTTGTATCGCAAAAAAATACAAGGAAAAGAAGAATAGCAAAAAAAAAGGAATACAAATAATTTATTGACTTTTGTTTTACATTTAAAAATGTTATATGTAAAATTGTAACTTAATAACACCACTTCACCACTTCATTATAATTAAAACACTATATAAAACCATAAATTAGCCGTATACACACATAATTATTGTAATTTTTCTATTAAATTTATGTATGTGCACAAATTATACATAGTGTATGTAGTTAAAAAAAAATAGTGTTACGGTAAAAGTTAATTTTTAAATGAATAATTTTTCGAGACATTTAATCTACCGTATTCATTATGGTAGTGAAATGACAAAAATCTATTGACTTCAATTATGTGCTATCAAAAAATATCCCGGAAAATTCAAAATATAATTACGGAGCGCCTCGTAAATTTTCAAACACCCATTACAAGTGGTTGCAAAATATTTGACTAAAATCTAAAAACTGACCTAAAAAGTTATGAAATGGAACACTCAATTGGAACTGTTTTCCCAATGTCAATAAGAATTGATGCAATTAAAATTTAACATCAAATTTCAATTGTTTTAAATTTGAAAAAACTCAAATAATTCGATATACTTATGTATTCACAATTAAAAATTCAATTTTTGTAATTTGAATTGGCAAAGTATTATGCAACTTTAAATTTTTCAACAAAATCCACATTTTTACAAAAATAATGTAAAAATGTTGAATAATTCACCACTTTAAAAATTATCAAATAAAAATTCAATAAAACAGTAGGTACATTTAATTTATATATTTTAGATTATATACAATTGTAGCAGTAGCAGTAATTTTTGCAGTTTAAGTGTTGTGAAACTTTGATATAGAATGAAATTATTGTTTCGTCGAATTGCTGCGAGCCTTACTACAATTACTCAAACCGACTCAAACTTAATTATTGTAAATTATTATAATCAACATATTATGGCATTCTCATTAAGAGCGCAAGCAACAGTAAAATAACACTATGTTATGTGTACATTAATATAATTTAATATATCGAGTATTCTAATTAAAATAAATGAGTATAAAATTTAATCTTAAAACCAAATAATAATGAGCTGATTAAATTGTGCTATATATTAATAAATTCAAATATAACAATGAACTATTATCACTTTTAATATACGTTATATTCTTTCTATTATTTCTATTCTTGATCCTTAATTACGGATTTAATTCAATTTTAATTATTTGTAATCAGGCTCAGTATGGATAAATGACAGACTATATAGACATTTTCAATATGGATAAATGACAGACTATATAGAAAGTGTTATACACATAATAACGTATTATACGAGTAATGTATAAATCTTATAAAATAATAACAAAAGATTTAAATAAAATTATACAAATATTCATGTACATATGCACAAGTACTC